GGTACGGCGCTGCTGAATTCAGAGGGAGATATGCACCCCCTCATCTGGCAATGCCGATCTTGCAGAAGCAATCCCGAGGGAAGGCGGTGGAGGGGGGCATCAAATTTTAAAGCTGCTTTCTCTAATACAGGTTGATCAACGAGGTGGTTTTTCTATCAATAAGGGCCCATTCTCACTATTTTTTTGCCTCTGAAGCTCATATTACATTTTTTAAAGGCAAATTTTAGAACAAATGCTGAGTCTAGTCATAAAATATGGCGAGTCTATGCCAATAGCAATAAAAAAAAAATGCAAATTCTGCATTAATTGTATGGAGCCAGCCCCAAAGACCAGCACTTCAAGCACTGTCATCATCTAAACGGTTAACAGCTAACGCTCCCTATCTGTCCTTGTGAACAGACAGGAAGGAGTTGAAAAGATTTCAAGAGAGATTTTTATTTTTTTCCTTTCCCATTCGGTGGAAAGTATTTCTGCCCACAGAATGCAAGATTCACAAAAATGTTGGACAAACTTAATCTAATCCCGTCCAAAGCTATTCCTCACGCTGTACTTAACTAGCCGAGCTGCTTCATGAACAGGTCCACATTTATTTGGGCTAGTAACTCTGTTCCTTTCTCCTGGCTGCACACGTTGTGCCAAGGGAAACGAGGGGATCAGCAATGCAAGTTTCCTTCCAATACAGAAAGAGGAGCAACTCCTTAAGGACTTCTATTAATTTCCTAACTGTGTCCTTGCACGCACATGTTAGGAGAATACAATCGATTATTCCAAAGGGAAGGGTCTGCTCTGGCATCTCTCCTTTCTTTCGTGGTTCGAGGCAGAGTCCTACTTCACGGTCTGTCTAGCGCCTCATCGAAGCATCCATAGGGATGCTTTAGGATCCTGACCCTTCCTCTTCGTTAAAGCTATTCGCTTTGAATGCTGAATTTGAGCAAGCCTAGCCCCCCTGCCCCCTCACAGCATCTTTGTTCTTCGGGAACGTTATTTTGATTTTGCATTTCCAAAAGCAGAGGTTGCAAATCAACACAAGGAAACTACACCTAAGAAAATCTGATTTTAAAGATGATTTAAACAAAACAACCCCCAACCCATCATAGTGTTTTGTAAAACTGCATTTTGAACCTCTTACCCCTCCTGATCCACAAGCAGTACCTGTTTCATGTCTGCACAATGCAGCAAGCATACAAGACTCACTAACATTTCAGATTTTTATTCCCTGTTAGTGTAACAAAAATAAAAAATAAACAGACATTCAAAAACAGAAGCGAGATTGTTCAAGTACCAAATAAGGGGCTTTTCCAAACTTAAGGTCCTGTAGCAATTCTGCCATTTTAAACAGCCACAGCGTTCAGTTATAGACCCAGTGCCACCCAAGTCTACAGAGAGCCCAGGATTTGGGGCAACAAAGACCCTCCTTCCCCTGTCCTCCCCAAAACAGCACTAAGTGTCAGCATTCATTTCCACAGTCCCCATTACAGTTGCCTGGCTTTGCAAAGGACAAACTTTGATTTTTGCCCCTCTATGACTTGAATTCAGGTATAATTAAATACAAGCTCTTTTCCTGGGAATGGTTTTTGGTTGTGGAAGTCTTGCTTACACTTGTGTCAGCGAGAAAAGAATCAGGCCCATGACATTAAATGGAAAACTTCTTGACCATCTGCCACATCAAGAGAGATGAGTGTGGAAAGAGCATTTTATTTTTGGCATAAGACAGAGGGCTGTACCGGATATAACTCTAGATTGCAACTACCAATGGTGCAAAGCAGCAACCCAATCCACTGCTGCTGAGAATTCAAACAAACCCCAAAATACAACCCCCAAATCTAGAGCATTCCAGTATCAGAAGGCAGACAATCACCTATTGCTGCTTCACACGGCAGTAAAGCATGTGATGGGACATCCCTCTGTTCCTAGGTTGGTTCTCTCCATGCTAAGTTTACTTGTAATCAATGAAGAAACTAGTGGGAAAAGAATTATAACTTACTAACTTCAAAAACATGGCACTCGTGGCTGACGCAATGGGGCCAATGACAACTGTGGAAGTAGACCTGATTTCCATCCATACCAATACAAAATACTGAATCACCCCTGATCCCTGCAAATATACTTCAAAACAGATTAGAAGAAACTGTGCATATTCGAGTTTTAACATCCCCCCCCCCCCATTTAACACTGTGCAAAAGTTATTTAGTTAACTCTACATATATATTTAATACAATATGGGTCAATGAGATCAGTACTCCCCTAACTGCAGTCTGATAAAAGACGGCTGCTCCAACAGTGAGACTACTTCCTCCTTTCCTCCTGACGTTTTGACTCTTGAAGCCAAAACCTTCTTTCATTTTACTGTTTTAAAAGAACTTGAGTTCCTTTGTTTTGCCTTTATGTTCACATTTCCTGTATTTGTTTTAGGCTTAACAGCTGCTTTTTGTACCAGGGTGTAATCCTGCACCTCACAGGCCCATTTCTGATTTCTCAATCATGCAAGTGTAGAACAACTCCTGGAAGCCATGGGCTTTCTCACAGGTCTAACGCTACTGAGCAAACAGAATTAGGCCGAGCACAATGAGTGCAGCAAGACCAAGCCCTTGCCCTGCAGAACTCAGTAACTACACGTGTCAGTTTTATACCCATTTTCATTTGCCCTACAAGTGCAAAATGGATGCAAAAAAAAATCTCTGCAATGGCATGTGAGAGTCAAAGGGGAGCGATTGTAGCAGCTGGGACTTCAGGTGCCTAAACCAAACACAAAGAGATACATCGGCAAAACACAGCCTCAGGGAGACTGCCAAGGATAATGGAGTTCCACATACAAGGAACGTGGGCTTAGTCTGCCCACAGCCCTGATCCGAAGGATTGGACAAAGCAGAATTTCAAAGAATGCTTCAAGATGGCTTATTGGCTCTGAGCACATCATTCACAGCAAATACATCACCTGCGATTAGAGAAGAGATCTCAGAGAGCGAGGGGCCAGATTCCCAACTCACACCACTATAAAGCCAAGCTACCTTCACAGACGCCAATGGAATTACACTGTATTTACCTTGGCAGAGCCGGGGCTGGAGCCTGGACCAAGACCTCACAGGATCAGTCAGATTCCACACTACAGGGAAACTTCAGACAGTCCCGCTTTGCTATCCCGCTGCTGTCAGTGCTGCAAGGGTGTGCCAGGATTTATGAGCCTGAAAGCAGACGTGCGCTTGTTTAAAACAAAACTGAGCCCTATCTGAAAATGAGGCAGATGTGAAACACTTGAGCCAGGTTGTCCCTATTACAAAAACAGGGATCAAAAATACACACCCCATCAGCTTCGAACGTTAACGTTGTAAGAGGAGAGCCCAGTGAGATCGCAAAGGCAGAGAAAAGTCAGGCACTCCTCTCGCACAGGTTTTTCCACAGGCACGAGGCACCTGGCTATCACTTGTGCCTTTGAACTGATTTCCCTCTTCAGGCATTTGGACTCAGCCCAGCACCAAGGGAACGCTAGATGCACAAGAGGTGTGAGAATGACAGCTTTACAGCTACCAGATTAGAACTGCAAATTATCTTTAAAAAGAAAAGTTTCCATGTCCATATACCACTGAGGCATCCATTCGAGATTTTCACTAAGAGCAAAAGTTACGCCTCATTTTTCCTTTTCTTGGGGAAGTGGGAGAGAAGGGACGCAAGAGCAGATGTGGGTCACTTTGACATAGCAGCTTGCATGAATTTTCTTCTCCTCTCACCTGGTTTTGGTTAAATTTTGCAGTTTTTCATTCAATTAGAAAAGTGGCATCTACAGAATTCTTTGCCTGAAGATTGCACTCTGGCTGATTAGAAAGCGCCTGGGATGTGTCGTGGTCATTAGTGCAAAATAAAACATCTCACAAGCATGCCAGCAACTAGACTACCCTTCCTGCAACGGCTGCCAGTGCTCCAGCCTTGTCATTTCCCTGCTTACAAATTCATGACATTCAACCAAATAATACTTCTAGTGTAAACATTAAACATCAGTAAGCCTGGCACTACTGCCCAGGCATTACAGAAAAAACCCATTTGAACAGGAAATCAGCCCCAGGGTCAGAAACAGGTCTAGAGCATTCTCAGACCTGAATGACTGTCTGCTTCCTGTCCTGCACAATGGGTACATTGCAAGGGAACTGCTTCCAGTAATAGGAACAAAAGTAACTTTCAAGGTTGCACACTGAACAATTACTTTGCCAGTTGTGCTTTGATGCCAAGTGGTTCAGTTTGCCAAATTTAGCTCTTTTTCATTTTAGAAGCTTATGGAATGGAAATAAGCTGCTTTGTATACTTTCCAGGGAGGGGATTTATTGGATGATTGCTGTATTTGACGAAGCCCAGGACTACCCACTCCAGTATCCGACAGCAGCCCTTGCCAAAGGATGGTACCAGACACCCAGTAACTGACGAATACAGCGCTCTTCCCTTCCTGTGTTTTGCATCATGTCCAAAATAACTACAAGGGAATTTAGATCATATCAGTGTAAAATCTTGCCTGGCTGCAGTGGTGTGAGAGCTCAGAACCTAGGTTGCAAAGACCAAACCAGAGGAGATCTGTAATTAGCATGCTTGCTTCTGTACAACTGGAAATGACTACACCTCATGAAAGAGTTTGGTACAATACGAATTTGGTACAATAAGCCACCTAGAAGCATTCAATTGCACCTATCTCTTCTATACCAAAACCAATCGTTCTAAGAGTCTGTCACTGTTCAATAAGAGAACTGCAACAGGTGAGTGCAAACTTCATTCCATAGTTTACATTCTGAAGCACAGTATCATTAAAAACTGAAAGCGGAATCCCATGCTGAGGAATGGGAGGAAGGGGGGTGAAGAAAGAGGAGAGTGAGCAATTACATCAGATCAGACAAATTTAGTGTTTTGAAGCCACACAATGTTTAGGTTTTCCTTTTATTTGTTTCAAGTTTTGGTGTAGAAAGTGTGTGCGGATGCTAATGCAACCTTCCCCATAAGTGCTCGATCTAGCAACGAACAAAGTTTTGGTGTGTTCAATTTGGTTATAAATGTTTCCTTTAAGCGAAGACCTGTAGTGCCATCGAAACCAAAACTTTGTTACTGTTGGCAAAAAAATAAAGCAACTTTTCTTTACAAGCATTTTTCCATTTAAATAAAAACCTGAAGCTTTCCCATAATTCCTTTGGTCTTCTCTCACCAAATTCCATGCTACCTCAAGACAAGCCCTCTTTCGGAAGTTCGGCTGAATCGCAGTGAAGCTGCAAAAATCAACAGAGAAGAATTGCTGTGGTAGTTTCCCCCCCTAGTTCCTTGGGAGTTTAAGACTGAAAGACATTACTGATGCCTCAAACAGAGGCTTCAAATTGTCTCTACAAGAACAAGAGAAAACAAAATCCAATTCAAAGTTCCACTGAAGGTGCCTGGCAAAAAATTATCTCCGTAAAATGATGTTTTGCTTCCAGTATTTTTGTATGCATTGAGTTTATTCCCCTCATAAGGAAACAAAAGTATCAGTGTAAAAGCACAGCTGAGCTTTTAAGGTAGCACCAGGACACCTACACCCAAGTTGTCGTCTTGTTGCTGCTAGGCCTCTTTTTGATTCACATTCACAGAATCACTTCTTGTGCAAAACAAGCAGTCTAAGGAGAAAGAATGCCCTCCAAGTTCTAATAAAAATTGTAGAAAAGAATCCAAGATAGCCAACACTTTCCTCCTCCCCAAAATTTATCTGCAGAGAGAGGGGGGCATCTGTGCGTAGACAGGATAGGCAAGCCTGACATTTAGGGAATCGTTGTGTTGGACAAGGGATGTCTGCTGGTAATGAAGAACCAAATCCTTAAGTGTGCTGTACAGGTTATACGGTTCTGCAAACCCATAACCTCTTGGAGTGCTGTAGATCACACAGTGTTTCACTTCTCCATCAGCTCTGCAAGGAAAGAAACCAGGAGAGTTTAACATCAAAGGACAAACCCAAAGTGACAGTCTATTAACAATTAACTAATGCAGCAACCCCGCCAGTCACTAAATTACATAATGGAGGACTCAGCAGATGCAAGTTGAGGAGATTAATACAGTCTGTGAAGAAACACTGCTTCAGGGCACGCGATTAAACACTCTTGCATAATAATCCACATAAGAGGCCTCTTCTATCCCAGCAGTACAATTCCCTACTGCATTGTTCTCTGAATATTTCTTGGTAAAAAAGTCAAGAGCTTAACCAAGAAGATAAGCACCTGAAGTCAAGTTATGCAGAAAGTCATAGCTATCTGGAAACCTTTCCACTAAGTGAAGAAGCTAAAATCCACAAATTCTTAGGACCTACAGAGTATTTCATGAAATGCAGGACTAACCTTCAGTGTGCGTTTTTTAACGTTAAGCATGGCACGGGTTCAAGTTGGTTCATTATCTGAAGTCGTAACGACTGAGTCCCTAACTTGGCAAAGCAGTTACTGCAACACAGTTTTTCCAAAGTTGCTAGAAAAACTTATCTGCCAGAAAGATCGAGTATTATGTAATCCCTGTACTGGAGCATATTACAATCCCAGTCACGTGTAGGAACAGGTTACGTTATGCCACCCCTTTGCTAGCTTGTAGTATGATACCAATTGAGCAAAAGTATGTAATGAACCCATTGCTTTTAGCGACTGTGACAAACAGTATCCCGAAGGTAGCAGATACTACAATCTTCAGTTACCTTGAGGTGATACACCTTCACATATTCATTTCTCAGACTTGCTTTCAGAAGCAATTAACCTCATGTGAAATAAATCTGTGAAAGCCATTTTAGTACTCCACAACAGGCTTGAAGGATTTTTAGATAATGGAATCAGTATTTCTGACCTCCATTACACCAGCATAAAATGAAGTGAAACACAAGAAATCAATGCAAGGCTCTGAATGTCATAAAAACCACTGCTCACAAATGTCCCCTCTGAAGCATCACTGTTATCTTAAACATGTAAGAGAACGTATCTAGATGTGGCTGTGTCTGAAAATAAGAACGGAAGATGTTACAGCTTTACAGCCCTGTTTTTCTTCTTCCTATGTGTTCCTTGGCAGGGAAGAATATGGGAGAATTTGGCCTTAATTCACTTATGACGGTAGAGCTTCAAGTTGGAATACTTCAGAATTTTGTACTAGCTACTGTGGTGACTGAAGAGACTGCTAGGACTACAGTTATTGCACATTCAAAGTACATTTTTGCAATAAAGCTTTTACCATGCTAGTCCTCCTGCAAACACGCAACATGTTCCAATGGGTAGGCCTAGGCTAGGCCTGGCTGTGGTAGAGATTTATGAATCTAGTAGTGAGAACAAAAAGGAAAACAGACTTACACCACAGAACAAGCATAACATCCTTTCTTGCTACTCTCTCGGATTAAAAATGCTCCATCAGGTTTCCCACAGAGCAAGTCTTCTGCTTGGATACGGTTGAGGTCTCCAACAAACCAAGTTTTCTCATCATGATGTGGCAGGTTTTCATCTTCTTCATTCACAAAGTACGTGCTGAAAGAGAGGATAAATTTGTTAACTTAACCAGTAGTCAGTAAAAAAGTTAATAAATACAGTGATTTATTTTTGCAGAGACCATTCAAGGAAATACCAGAACACACTCAAATTGGGAAGTCAGGTTTCTGATGGACATATATTAAAGGGTTCAACTCAGAACTTAATTTTTGCAACTTTGTTTAATCCGAAGTGTTTCAGCAGATTCACTGTCTCACATGACATGCAGTTCCCCTAGAGAATTTCTCCCTTTTTCTGCAGTCCTTCCTTTTCCTACAGTCCTTTACTGAGAAACTGGTGTTTTGTATTATCAACCCCCACAAGAAAACACTTATTAATGGAACACTTCTCAGTAAAATCATATGTATAATGACACTTACTCATCAATATTTTCATTTTTGATCCCCAGCCAGTCATTTATTCGCTTCTGTCTCACCCCTTTGTGATTGAGCCATCTGCCAGAAGAAGAGAGCATTAATACATTACTTCAGGGTACATGTATGTGTTTTCTTACTGAGCAAGCTGAAGCTTGGACACAAGGTCTCACAAAGAAACAATATGGAGCTTAGTTCGTTCTCCAGCAGCAAAAGCCACAGAAAGACCAGAGATTCCATAAAAGCACTTCCTTGCATTATCTTCTGAACTACCTCCTTTACTGGACACAGCAAAAAGGAGCCATGAAGCAACCTCTTAAATGGAGAAAGAGGAGGGTAGAGCTGAGGAAGAGGTGTTGTCTCTGGACAGTGCAGGCCAGAAAGGAAGCAGAACACAAATTGTGACAGCTGCCTGCGTCTCTTGGGAAAACAAAATGGGTACTGCCACTGGCTTCTTCTAACCTCCTAACATCACCATCTGAGATAGTGTGTTTCCCTCTGTCTTCTGCCAGAATTTTAGTGCACCGAGTCTAGCCCAAGGACATTAGGAGGTGGGTAACGGGTATCAGTGAAACCAAGGGTGGGTACAAGCAACATCTGCTGCACCCAGCACAAAAAGTACTAACCTCTGTTGTAGCAGCAGAAACAGGTTTTGTTTTAACTCATTTATCTGAAATGCTTTATTTAAATGAGTTGCAGAATGTGCACCTAGTTGTGGCAGGCTCTTAAGTCTGACAACAGCATAATAAAGGAATGAAATCATGAAGAGACCAACCAATTACTCAGACATCCCACGCCAGAATGTAGTACCTTAGCACTCAGAGATCTTTGGTTATGAAAAGAAAATTAAATTCCCATTATTCTGATAGAAACAATCATTAATCAGGTTCATCAGAGACATTATTCTGAGGTACAAGTCAGGCTTACTTACACAAGATACTGATCTCTGATTTTGCGGAGCTGAATTAGGTCAGGCTTGATACTATTCATTTTCTTATCAGTCTCCCTGTTGTCCAGAGCTTGTTTCTTCAAATCTTGTTCCAGGCGCATTTTACTATCGTGGATCTCACCCAGGCGTGATTTTAATTTTTCATAGTTCATCATTATCCTGCAAATGAGTGTAATATTTGAGAGGTGAGGTCAAACCAGTCTAGAAGGTCTAAACCTTACCGGTAGCGCTTATGTAAAAGTATCACAAAAACTACCGTAACAGCAGCTCCTCCCTTTGACCCCCTCATTTTAACAAGAAAATGACTGTTAAGAGTGCCAGAAGACCTACTGCCAGAAGGCCTACCACCCTTTTGCAAAGTTTGAATCTTCAGTTTACCTTAATACATTTCCTTCTGGCAGAGGAACAAGTTATCTCTAGGAGGGTAAGCTAAAACAGATTCTTCCTTCACTGTCAGATTCATTTTTTGGTATATCAATTATGCAATCCCACCATAGGTATCAGTACTAGCAAGATTTCAAATGCAGACTTCAATTACTGATCAAGAGCTACCAGGAAGTAACACTGCTCATCTCGTCATTCAAGATTAGTTTGCAAGTTTGGTACAATTCAGGAAAATTACATATTTCCCCTGTTAATTGATCCTTCATCAAAATGAAGCACCACAATCGCACACTGAGACTGTTAAAGGTAACTGTTTCAGTCAAAGTCTCCTTAAGGTTACTCTACCACGACTCAAAGCGCTGTGCTAAGTTAAGCATTACACCTGGCATTTCTTCAAAGGCCTGATACAGTGCTTTCTGCTAGGATCTTCACAGAAGGGCAATTTCAAATGAGGTCCTTACTGAGTTTCTATTAGATGACCACTATCCATTACCAAGTAATAGCAATTAAAGACTCATCTTTGAAAGTGACTACGGACCATGAGATTTACCAGATCTATGTCCATTTTCCAGTTTACAAGTAAAGATTTTTCTGAATTATATTCTGAGCAAATCCAAATAGAATGGGATAAGCAAATGCAACTATTATTTCCTGATCTCCATCACAGTATCTTGCTTTACTGATGAGAGAGAATAATCCAGAGATCTCTCACCTCTTCTGTCTACAACGCAATTCCCTGTCAGAAGAGGGCTTTACTGAAGGTTCAGACACCTCAAGGGAAGGTCTCAGAGAAAATACTGAGTTTACAAAGCATTTTATATGATGCAATATTACATAAAAGAATTTCATGGGAGTGTCAATGTGGACACTAGTTCTTCCTTGTAAGCAAACACGACTTGAGAGCCTACCGTTCTATTTCTTTGTCATTCCCCTCTCTGCGAAATCGCTCAATGTATTCTTTGCTGTATCGCTCTTGTGAGTGGCACTGTTCCTCAAATATCTTAATAGTTTCATTAAATGCTTCAATTGCGGTCCTCTTCATCTGAATTTCCTATGTAAGAAAAGAGTCTTTCATCATTTGCTCATGATACAGATGACAATGCAAGACTCAATTACGTTCCCTAAATTGACTGAGAAGATGACTTTTCTCCCCCCCCCAATTCAAAATGTGATTAATCAGTTTTAAATTTAGTCAAATGTCCGAGTAAAGTCAGGCAAGTACAGGGAAGACTTACTCCCTGTGAGTCCACCCTCCTCCCCCACATGATGCTCTCTATTAGGCTGCAAACCCCTCAAATATTTTAGTCATATTTTCCATCTTAGTTTGCAGGAAGACTGCCAGCAAATCTCCTCCCCATATACGAACTATCTTATTTTACAAGAAGCAGCCCAAATACTGTATTCACACTTCCTTAATGCATAATATCTGGTGTCTGATTTGAATGTGGCTTCATAAAAAACCTGGACAAACCCCTCTTCAATTCTCACTGCAGCATACAGCAACTGGAAATACTCAGCAGCCAAGGAAGAAGTCTGCAGTGCAAAGCTTGTAGGTGATGGCCTTTGCACCGCTCTACCTTACACTAGGAAGCTCAGCTCCTGTTTCTTTCTTGCCCTACACCATACCTGAAGGACTATCAGCAACAAGTAATATTCACTGTGTTTCCATCAACTTTGAAACCACCTTGCTCTATTCCACAATTTACTGAGGTTTTTTCCTTGTATTTTCTGACCTTTATTATCCATAAGAGGTTGAAATAATTTAATTTTTAGACAACAAGAAACAGACTACAGATAGCTAAAGTAGAACCAACCTGTGATGTTCTGGTATATTCTTCATACAATTTGTCGTACTCTTTACTCTTTTCCTGATACTGAGCATGGTATTCTTGAAGCTTTTTACCTACTGCATCTATATTATCTTCTTTCACCAACTGATCCTGTACATATAAAAAGCTATTAAGTCTTCAAGCAAAGCAGCTTTTCCTTAAGAGTATTCATTTGTCCACTTATGCACATTTGCATTTTACAGCTATTAGCATCATTTTTATAATCTACAGAACATAAACCACCGTATCTATATCCCCCTTCCTCCACGTAACAAGTTCTACAGTTTACAGACAGTAGGAACCGGAACTATGGGACACCAAGAACTATGCCAAAATACTAAGCTTCCAAAACCACACAGCAGCCTAGGTGTAGGATTGCTATCCTCTGTTGGAGAAAGGAGGAAGTGAATTGCTTGGAATCTGAAGTTAAAGATCAGAGTTTTTTGGGTTCCCCCCCCGAAAAAAAAAAAGAGCTCTGCAGTTCTTTTTCCTTAATGCAGGATATTGTCTTGGGCTGCTGAATAAAACTTTAAAAAATATTTTTGAAAAATTTAGATGGCTATGCACACAGCAAGCAACTGCATTGCTCATATGTGCTTCAAGGGCAACACTGTCTAGAACAGTGCCCTGTGGGTCCACGAGGGTCCAAGGGGAAAAAAACCAAACCAAACCAAAAAAAACCCCACACCAACAAAAAAAAGGCTTCTCAGAGAGGCTCAAGTCTGCTGCATGTCAGGGTTTCATTTCTCTGTTGGACTGCTCAGATGGAGACCGGAAACTTGGTAAAATGAAGAAGTTTAAATGGCCAGGCAATTTGGAAGTCCCATTATTACGTGCAAAGTGAAGTCAAATGGGAAAACTCACCTTTTTTTCAGTTTAAAAAAAAAATCGGGCTTCACATAGAGAAAACAGAATCATACACACATTTGCATTTTTTTTTTCTTGTCTGCACTAATAGTTATTGGAGTCCAATGAAGATCTTACCTGCTGGTACCGGGACACTGGATACATCAACTTCACATCAAGCTTCGGGTTATACTGAGCAAGAGATTCATTGCGGTAGTGGTTAATCAGTTCCACAACTGAATTAAACGTCAGTGGATCAGAAAAGCCGTATTTTCCATCCCGATGATAGATCTTTATCAGCTTATTGTTGCCACCCTTCCTGTAAAGTGGTCAGTTATTTAGAGGTTTTGCCGTGTACCTCCTATCCCTCTTTGACACTAAGGCTGCTAACAGAGACACCAGTGAAATTCCTGGGCAAGCGGCTTTGACACTGTACACCTTCATTGTGATTCTTTACATACTTCCATTGGGTAGTTTAAGAGTCAATACACACAGAATTATCAGCAGATGTTATTTGAACAGGAGCAAAGCCCAAAGTAAATCTCTTCCTATGCGTTCATTCCAGAGCCAGCTTACGGTATTTAAGACCTAGTTTTGCAAGGGAAAAGGAGGATGCGGAAGGCTGAGTAAAGGAGCCATGTGAAAACCCAAACCCACAATTTCCTGCAATTTGAGGTCACTAATAGTATACAACTGAGTATACATTTATACAGTGATTAACAAGTCTTTTGAGTTATGGATGCTAATACAGGATACACAAACCTAAACAAAATCCTTTGAGGATTACAAGATGGTTTTAAGTTTAGGACTTTACATTATCCAGATTTATACATTCTAGCGGTTTCCACAAATATAGGGCTTATTTCTTCCTTTTTTCACCAACAGACTGTTTAGGTAATATCCTGTCCTTCCTGCACTCTCAATTTTGGTTCATAAAGACATCTGCGTTCAGCAAAATAGCCAAATCATGCCAAACCTTAGCGCACAAGCTGTGAACTTCACGGCAGAAGTCAAAGCAGAATTTAAACTACACCTTTGGGGTCAAACCTGCCATTAAGACAACGGAATTTCACGGCAAGACCAAATATCTACCATATCATAGTAACTCCCAAAGGTGTGCTACAAAGGCAGTGGCTTATGCACCTCACCTGTTTGCCTCTAACAGCCAATCTTGGGAACCTGGCAGAGGCAAGCGGCTGGACAGGCTGGGCAAGGCACCAGGCAGCTAGTCACATGAGGTCTGTGCCTAACTGCAGTAGATGGGGCTGGGGCAACTCTGGGAAGTCTGCCACTCGCGGACAATTTTAATGAAGAAAACAACATGGCTCCAATTCAGTATTTCCTAAACTTTAGATCAGAAAGCACAAGATATTCTTTTTACAAAGACACTGTGTTCAATTCTCCAGAGCTGCATGCTGATGAGATATTCTACACGCTCCCATTAATCAAAGCCCTAGCTTATAAACACCATTTACCTTAGCAGTTCTGAAACTATGAAGCACTGAGTGGCTCTCCTCCCTGAGTCCCATGTAATCCACACAGAGATCCTTACTGTTTAGCAAGGGACAGGATTCAGTGCACAGAACAGACTATCAGACCTGGCTATTTATTTGCTCATTCTGTGATCTTCAGTACCTTTGGAAACATCTCTCAACTTGAGTCACGTCGGCTTTACACAGCCACTGCTGTCACTAGTATAGCAACTAGCTACTCAGGGTTTTACTGTGTGGACAATTGCTCAATGCTTACCGTAATGTCAGAGTATAGTCTCCCTGCATCTTAGTTGATGCATCACGCACCAGGAATGTTCCATCTGGCATGTCTCGTAATTTGTCATTTACTTCTTCCCTGGAGAAGAGAAAGGAAGGCAAAGTTAGAAGCGTTAAGGTCATGACCATCTTTGCTACAGGTATCGATATTGGAGCCAGTAACACTAGCATGCGTAAGGAGTTCAATCTTCAAAATATCAGGCAATCTTCTTTCACACTCAGGCTCTCCAGTCTTTCAGGCCATCTAAAGCAAGTCTGAACTCGTGTAGTTATACTAAAAATAGCAGTTGCAGCCAACTGCCACTTAGGAAGAAGTCTCTGTTTAAGCAACAGTAGTGGCTGTGTCTCCAAGTTCACAACCTTTCCGTGTAATCTGCTCAGGTTTTAAAGTCTACACTCGAAACAGGTGCCCTTTAAGAAGCCTGTCCTGACCTCTTAAGAAATGGTCTCTAGCATCATAGCTCAAAGGTGTCTAGAGTTTAGCACAGATTTAGTCTCAAGAGACTCATTATTAGCTTAACTCTGATCTTATTTACAGCAGTTTTAAACCACTACAACCTTGCTTGCTTCAGTGCAACTTTTCCTCATTCACAATTGAAGCAAAAAGATACTCAGTCCAGAGCTTTAAGCTAAATCAAGAAATCTTTTAGTGAAAGCAAGTACCCATAAGCATTAAGAAAATTATTTCAGCTGAAGAGTTAAGTGTCTCGCCAGGTTTGACCATTTCACCCAGATTACATATCTCACTTTATAACAGCTCCCTCACAGGTTCTTAGAAGCACTAAGTACTTTTTAATACAATCATTTGGAAGCTAAAGTTTATCAGGTAGTCTCAACATTATCTAAGTGAGGTAGGAAGCCTACTTGAATCTTACAAAGAAAACTCAACAGCAGCTTTTTTGTTCAAATACTAAGGAACAAAAGTACTCTTACAAGATAGCCTTAGTTTTGATTTAGCTACCTGAAAACCATTCTGTTAGTAAAACTGGCTCCTATAAAGTATCATGTACATATCCACTTACCTGTCTCAGAACATTTTACAGGTTGGACCTAGCTAATTCAAATGGCCTTCTCCTTTTTGAATGGATAGGTATGATCTAAGGGTTTGGGCTTGCAAGTTGCATCCAGGAGCTCGTGACAAGATTTTCAGTGCAAGTTCTTAACTGAAGAACACGGCTCCTGCCCTAACAGCCCAATGCAGTCCATACCTGCTGGCTGTCAACTTAGGGTCAAACAATTCCATCTTTACATGCATGTGTATCATACTTTAGTCTAATAAAGCCACTCTAATGTGATTTGTACTCCATTAGCTCCTGCCATCACGTGCACTGCTAATTGAGGAACAAATCTACAGTCAATAAACTGATACCAATATCGAGCAGTTTTAAACAAACCCTGTCTAGTGGGTTTTGTAGTCAGGTTTTGCCACTCTGCTTTGATTTAGAATTAACAGAAAATATCACTGCCGAGGACCTTCAAAAGCAAGAGCTATGTGGGTTTCCTTTATAAAGATAAGCGTGGTACAATAAAGATAGGAAAACTTTATTTCCCTTCTCAGAACTTCAATGAACTACTGCGACAAAACACTCTTCTTGCCTCTATCTCACAAAGTGTTTCAAAGTATTACATGCACAAGTTTGAGCAATTCCTGATCACGCTCCCAGCATGCTCATATTTCCCCCTACAGTTCCAAATTCTAGACTCTTCAGAAGTGCCTTAAGAGGGAAAAAGATACTTCAGCTCTTTTATGCTATTAAGTACATAAAAACTGGCAGTTCTTTTTCTGAACCTAACCCAAGCCATCTATTCTCTCAAGCACATAGAAAAGGGTTTCCTTAAGAGGTAAAACTTCATTTATTTGGTATGTGCCTGTATCATCTGCTCAGTATAGCTGGTGATGGTTAGCATGTGTAAGAGCTATTTTTATACCACCATGTAATAGAAATTAATACAGATGCAATTTTAACCAAATGTTAAAGAAATCAAAAATAAAAATGCAACTCCTTTTATTCTGAGCAAGCCTCCTACTGAAAGTTTCCTGAACTGCATGCATCCCAGGGTTTTATGCTTACAAAACCTTATCAGCTAGCACATGCAGAAGCACTTTTCTTTTGAACAAAATCATTTTCTCTTTTTTAAAGACTTTGTGTATCTGGAGAAATTTAGAAACCCAAAATAACTGTCACCAGGACTGGCGATACCTGAACCAGAACAGTCACAACTTAAACACAAGTCCTGAATCCAGTCAAATACTTTCATTTAGGTGCTTTGCCAAGTATAGTCCTAAAGGGTTTCTGTCCTGTAAAATGCTGCCTGAAATAGGCATGTTCTTTTTCTTTTGAATTCTAACAGGCTTATTCTATTTTTAATAACACATATTAATATATTGTAATTAAAATATTTTAGTAATATTGCTTACCTTGAGATGTCCCCCCAGTACCACTCTGCTTCCTGCAGAGAGAAACTGCAATTGTCCTTTATTCCATTTGTATTGACTGGAGTCATTGGTTTGGGGGGCTTTGGAGGAAGAGCTGAAAATGAAGAACAGATTAAAGAATGGTAAACAGGGGAAACTAATCACTAATCTGTTAATAAAAAATGACATGAAAAAGTGTGAGAAAACGTGCATCTTGAACTTGGATTTCAAGCTCTTTGAAAGTAAATGGAATTTGTAATTTTTAAAGAACTTTGAAGTCAGCAGCGACACTGTGATCCCAGATTTCCTAGTACTCAAACTAAACATGGGCTTGAGGGAGGGGAAAGGGAAAAATGAGTTTTTGTTAAAAGGAAGACTGGCTTAGGCATGACTCCAAGGACAATCACCACCTAAAACTCCAGATGAGTTACAAAGGTGTATTGTGTTTGAAAGTCACAGCCTGGAGACCAGTGTGCACCACTATGGAAAAACTCCAGTTGCGCAGGTGTCACCAGTCCTTATGCCAACCTGTAAGAGCAAAGGGGTGGATTCTTCTTCAGAGGTAAAAACGTTGCTAGTGAGAGAAGTGGTGGCTGGGCAGTGGTATATCCATTATAGACCCAAGGTTCATGTCTCATACTAGATTTGTCATTTAAGCCCATTAAGAACAAAAACTACAACTCTCTGAATACTACAAGACAAGAAGTGATAAAGGAAGGGGAAAGGGGACATTAGGTCATTATTAGAGTGCCTGCACCACTTTTCATAGCTGAAGTGTTTACCACAGGAAAAAGGATGCTACAAATCCTTGAAAAACAGGCAGAACTGCACATCTGTAGGCCTAGTGCATACCTGCCCAGAATTCCCCTATTCTGAATTCAAGGAAAACAGGCTTTTACTTCTGTTCTCAAAATAGGTTACACAATGTAAGGGCATACAATGCACTGAAGCTCTTTCTAGTTGGTCATTTTTTGCTGAACTAACTTTATCATGGTCTTGAATGTAGAGCCCTCTATCAGGAGTAATTCAGCAGCCACAGGCATGCTCATGTATTGGGAGATACTTGTCTGTCAGTAGAAATGCATTACGCTATTTTCTTCAAGAAAGATGCCTTGAGTACTCTCCCCTCCTTTGCAGAGGCTGAACGCTTCATCAAGAACACTACCATTGAAACTGAGCATTTTTCAGGCATTTCATGAGACAGAAAGTTTTACAGGGGTAAGTAACATTTGAATTCAGAGTAAGAAAGCAGCTACAAACATTGATTTGCTGCTAGCGCATTTTTAAGTCAGACCCTGAACATCTGTGCTCCCAGCCCTATGCCCTAGCCATCAGATTACACAAGCATCAGCAAGCAGACCTGACACACACTGACAACAGCCATCATTCAGATGCACACAATCCCAGTGTATAAACAGAAATACAAATAAAGGGAGCAGAAAGAAGATTTTGATCTCCAGCTCCAAAGCGGAATGGCTCAACACTGAGAGGTGTGCTACTTGGCACCAGCCCTCTGCTCACCTCCGAGCCACACCTCCCACATTAAAGAAGAGAAAACAGTGTTCCAACTGCAGTTCCAAATACCATTTCATGTTGAATATCTGACACAGTAACTTCACTGTTCTCAGACAAACCAGTAGAATCTCTAATCGAGCCAATCTAAACTAAATCTGAACCTTGACCCAGACGTTTGCACCCTGGGGTTGCTGACCAAACACCTGATTCAGATAGCAGCATTCATTCTGCGGGACTGAGCATTAAACCATAGCATACAGGTTCTTTTTATGGGGTAAGCTGGGAACTTTCAGGTGTGCACATATCTAGTGAGGCAATAAGAGGTCTTGTTATAAAAGGAAGGTGGAAACCTTTGGATTCAGTGAAGTAGCTTCCTGGTTAGGAGGCTTCAGTTACTCCTAGCTCAACTACTACAGTTGTTTGTATAGCACCTAAGCATTTGTACAAAGCACCATTGAGAGTAAGAAACAGTTCTAACCCTACTTTGCTTCAAGCTCCCAGCCCTATATCCACTTTTGCGGGGTCAGAGGAGCATATATCCAGGCTAAGCCTGTAGAATCAATTGTATTTATGGTGCCCTATGCTGTTCCGTCTCCCCCATTCAAAGTTCCTGAACTAAAAAGTGTCTCCAGGACTTCTCCCCAGCTCACATCTGGGCTGTGCTACCCTACACGCTCCAAGCAAGCAACAGGACAGACACAGCAGTTCTGAGTCTCATCGGTGTCTGCACACGGCAGTAAATCTGAGTTCAGAAAACCTGTAGATGTTCTGATCTACTTCAGATTCTTTCATAGATTCTAAGTCATCAAAAAGCGCATGAAGATTCGTGTAAAAACCACTCAACAGCATGGAGAGTTCTTAGAAAACTATACCAGCACCAGCAATTATTTCACTGGGTCCTGCAAGTTAAAGCTTGGACATATCAAAAACTTCAAGGTATTTTACAGGGTAAAAGCCTGTTTTACACTGGTAATAGGGGCTTTCCAGAAGAGGCTTTCAAGTATCTCTAGAGTACTTGAATACTTCTCTGGCCCTCCTTGAAAGATTAAGTCTTGCTCCTTTATATACTGTGGAATTAATTAGCAGCTTTGTTAGGGCTCACTCTAAAGCACTGGGCACAGAAGAGCAAACCAACAAAGACCAGAAAAGTAAGGAACAGGAGTTTGGCATGCGACACAGAGCACTAGACATTACACCAAGTGTCCTTACTACAGGTGGGTTGTTTTCCTTCTTTCCCTCAGTTGCGATCAGTTCTCACTATCAGGGGGCTGTCTGCAGAACTTCATTCTGCATGAGAAATTTGGAAGGAAATTCTTCCAGGGAGAAGAATAAGGCTTGGACCATTTCCTGCAAAACCTGACTCATGGAAGCCAGTCCTTTTCACAATAGACTTTTGAAAAATGCTTTTTAATAGCTTGCACATTTGAAAAATACAAAAGTATTTGCAAGGGTGGATCCTGTTTCCAGAGAGCTATGGATCTAATTTTTTACTTTCAATACTTTGAGCTCTTTGAATCATAATAGATTTTCCTGTCTTGGATACAGAACCAGGCCCTTGCTATTACTTTACCCAGTAGACTAACATGCCCATCCATTTCAGTGTTTCTTGGCTACCCCCTCAGCCTGATATGACTGTAGTCTGTACAAATGGAGAACTGAGCACGAAGGTAGTTTAAACCCCACAGCCCAGAACCTGTGATGACACAAGGGGAGCATTTTGTAACAGCACAGCCAGTCTGCTGTAACAGAACAGCTTCCACCCTACTGCTGCTCTCATAACACTGGCCCAATGGGTTAATAGAAGAGGCATCCTAAAATAGTTTTTACTAGTACCTATACGGTACTAACCACCCTGCTAGGAGAAATCCTGTGATGTTTCTATGAGAAGCTACGGAGAACCTTAAAGAGTCTCCAGATTTTTATTTAAATTCCAAAAAAATCCAGTCTAATATACCTTACTTGATGAACATTAGAGAGCTAAAATCCTACAGTAAAGTAAAATAAGGCTGGCTTGAAGTCAACAGAAATGCTTTCAAGAGCAGCCGTGTTTCTTTCCATGTCACTAGGTCCAATTCTGATCTAGCCACAGGCACAATCTTACTTTATCTCAAAACAAGCTCTGATTAGAGTGAACGATCCTGATAGTTTCTTGCCTCCTTTTTCCTGGGAGAGAAGGAACATTGATCTCAAGTGATTAACAGCACAATGGATCTATCTGTTCTAATGAAGGACTTGCTGTTAGCATCAGATACACAAGGATCCCTCCCTTACCATGTGTCTAGGACAGCTTTATGGCACAGATCTTTCCAAAACCCAAAAGGCAACAGCTCGGCTGCACCCTTCCATTCCTGCATGAGAGCATTCCCAAGATCAGGTTCAGCCCCGAGTGACCACCTGGCATGCAGCAATGAGAGCAGACTGGCTCTCCCTCAAGCACTACCAGGCATCTCTGTTTTTCTTTCTTTAGCAACTCTAGTTCCCTCTTTCTAGCTTCCCCAAGCAGCCTAGCTCAAGCTAAATCCCAATCCCAGATCACTGTCACTTACAAGGGGGAAATAAAAAAGAGCTGGTGATGGAGCAGAGGTGGCGGCAGCCAATGCGGGCCGGGCCCGGGATCGGATGTTGCTGACGGCCGGGCCCGCAGGCCGCCGCGCC